CTACTTCCCCTACATAAGGGCTGGGCAAGGTAATCCAGCATGGGGAACAGATTCCTAAAAGCCAGCTACGCACCAGGGATAGGTCCTGATCTCACTGCTAGGAGCCTTACAAACAGACCAAGCTACACAACTGTCACACACATGCAGAGGGCCTAGGTCGATCCCATGCAGGCTCCCTAGCTGTCAGTCCAGAGTCAGTGAGATCCTGCAAGCTCAGGTTAGCTGTCTCTGTGGGTTCCTCCGTCATGACCTTGACCCCCGACAGCCCCCTCTCTTAAAGCCTCTTTATTCTCCTCTATGGGCCTCTTTCCAGTTTCCTGGACTCTGCCCACACTCAGACCCATATAAATACACGTACACAAAAATTCAACAGTGGGATCCTAATATGAGAGAGAATTGCAGTATTTGTCTCTCTGAACCTGGGTTTATGTACACAGAAGCAGGGAAACCACAGCACACACTCTCATCTACCCACACTTATACACATTCACACTCACATATACACCCCACATACACAATCACACACATACACTCACACACACATACATACGCACATACACATTCACACATATATACAATCACACACAGTCACTCACACACACACTCACAACACCCCTTTCCATAGACCTGGATAAAGAGCTTCTTCTAACTGCATCCCAGCCCCTAAATGGAAAACTCCACCTGGGAAGGCCCAGGGGAAACCCTGTAGCCTGATCAAATCAGACCTGGAGTTTGTACAGCACAAATCACTACAGACGAAGCTGATTGCTTTTGGGGAGAGTGGGTGATGGGATGGATTGATATACTGCCTTGTGAATGTTGCACAATTAATCCCCAATCAGCTCAGTGATGTCAGCATCACTTGGGCTGGAGATCAGTGAAAGGGCTGGGAAATTCAAGTGAGGCTAGGTCATGGCAAGTGAGCTGAGGTGGGGCAGGGTAGCAGTGGCCTGGGCTTGTGTGGTGAGTACACAGAGAGAGCGGGCACACAGTGGGGCAGCGGGGCTCACACAGGGAGAGCGGGCACATATTGGGGCAGCGGGGCTCACACAGGGAGAGCGGGCACACAGTGGGGCAGCGGGGCTCACACAGGGAGAGCGGGCACACAGTGGGGCAGCGGGGCTCACACAGGGAGAGCAGGCACAGTGGGGCAGCGGGGCTCACACAGGGAGAGCGGGCACACAGTGGGGCAGCGGGGCTCACACAGGGAGAGCGGGCACACAGTGGGGCAGCGGGGCTCACACAGGGAGAGCGGGCACACAGTGGGGCAGCAGGACTCACACCATGCCTGCTGTGCCCTCTCCTCAAGGGTCCTGAGTGTTCAACCCACCTCCTGTCCTGAGCACTGTTCCTACCCCAGTGGTCACACACCTCTCCTTCCCACACTTCCCTGAGATGGATGCCCATGGGCTCCTCTAGACCCAGGAGAAATCTAGAATCAATCCTTCAGGCCTTCTGCACCCAGGAGCTGCTGTCCCCAAGCATGGAACAACCGTGTACCCACCTGCCCCCCTAGAACCTGGATGTCATCCTTACTCCCTGCAAACGTGTGCATTCTTACTACTGCCACGTTGTCGTGGCCTTACCCTACCCCTGCCTTTTCCAGACTGATGCTTGTGCCCTTGCTGCTTTCTGTTCCTGTCCCCTGGCCACACCGTTGCCATAGTGAGGTTCCAAGATACAAGTGTGACCACCACATTCCTTAGCGTCTCACTGCTCCTGGATAGGGTACAAAGCCACCTCCTTGCTGTCAGTGTTGGTGATCTGACCATAGTAACCAGCTTAGTGCACTCTACACTCCATCTGTCCCTCTGTCTGTCTTCACACGTCCTCAGCACCGCCTCACCTCATCCTCAACCCCAGGTTCTCCTGATGTTGGTGCTGTCTTACCCTCTCTTGCCTCAGCTCATTCTCCTGGCTTCCCAGCCTCCTCGGATGCCTCTCCAACCTGTCCTGATGAGAGCCTGCATCCTAGCTAGCTCTCATCCCTCACGGCCACACTGAGAGAGAGCGTCAAAGTGATACCCATTTTCCAGCCCAGAATGATGAGACTCTGAGCTGGTGAGTGGTTGGGATATCCAAGTTAGATCTCCTGCCCACACAGCATCCGCCTCCCTGCTAGGGGCACATTGCTGTGTGTCCCTTCCCTCATGAAGACAGGAATCTCTCACTCAACACAAGTGCATCTCTCTTGAAATCAAAGCTGAACAAACCCTTGGAGTGTGAACACATCAGGCCCCCTCCAGAGTCTCATCTCATGTGTGTTGGAAGTCCTCATCTTCCTGTGTGCCACAAATGAAAATGAAATATTGATTGTCCCCCATCATTGTCCATACAAGTCTTTGGGAACCCTGTGTCCTGGGTAGGAAAGGGGGTACTCAACTTTACTCAGAAGCCTTAGTAAGATTCCCAATGGCCGCTGGGTGATGGTGGCGCACGCCTTTATTCCCAGCACTTGGGAGATAGAGGCAGATGGATCTTTGTGAGTTCGAGGCCAGCCTGGTCTATGGCGCGAGATCCAGGAAAGGTGCAAAGCTACACAGAGAAACCCTGTCTCGAAAAATCAAAAAACCAAAAAACAAACAAGCAAATAAACAAGAGATTTCCAGTGGCCTTGGTCAGAAAGACAGACAGTAAGATAGTCATAGTAACTGACGGGGTGATGGAAGCCCACACCTTGGGGCTCCTGGCTTCTCCCCATTTAATGTCCATATTGTCAGGCCAAGGCTGTGCTTCCCTCTCAACCATATTCCTAACTTCAGATCTCTCTGCTGATGAGAGAAGAGCCATGGGATCATGGTGGTGGTTGGAGGAACAGAGGAATGTCTGAAAACAGTCTCGTGGTTCTCAGGAAGGCCTGGGGGCTCCTCTGGTGTAAATGAATAAGCCCTGAGAGACATGCATCCATTTTTCTTTTGAACTTCATTTTGCTTACCCAGTGATTCCAGGCAGTTCTGGGTAGACGGGTTGTTGGCAGTAGGGGCTAGGATGTCTGGGGAGGGTGTCCCTGCCCACTTCTTTTCCACTCTCATAGGCTGGGTAGATGGGTGCTTGGCAAATCCACAGCCCAAATGTGGGCTTCCAGAAGGCTAAGATCTACAGATAGGAAGGCACTGGAGGGGGACAGGATGCCAGAAGTCAGCCTTGTTCACTTCAAGTTTGGAGAGAAATAAACCAAGAGAGGACACAGGCAGGAGCCATCCGGGTCTTCCTCCACATGGCTCATGATGTGAGCCAAACAAAAACTGCCATGAGAAGCTCTCTCCCATGAGAGTGAGAGATCACAGAAAGCCACGGGCAGCTGCTTATTTCACTGCTAACTAACCATTCCAGAAAAACTGTCCAAACAAGAATCAGCCTGGACAGAAATGGGTGATTAAAAAAAAGCCCAATCACAAAACCAAAACAGCATCTTGAAAACCAGGAAAGTCAGGGAAGAATATTGCCTTCTTAATAATAAATACATTTTGTGGGCAAGAACTGCAAGGGAATCGTTTAAATTAATTTCCGCTTTGTTTGTTTGGTTTGTACAGGGCTTAAATCCCAGATGACAGAGATCTGTAAAAGTTCTAACATATTGGAAATCTGATTTTCTTGCAGCCTGAATCCCAGAGTCCAAAATGATTTCTCTTTCAACTGTGCTAATCAGACAGGCAGGGCTCAAATGGACTCTGAGTCAAGCCAAATTGTACTTGGTCTTTCTGGGGGGGATAAAAGATGTCTGACAGACATACCAAGGCGAAGCTGCCGGCCATTCCTCTCTGGAGTGCTGCTGAGGGGGAGGGGCTCTTGTGAGGGGAGATGGGGACAGTCTTTGGTGTCCTGGGCAGCTCTGCCAACTCTTCCTACTCTCTCCGCTCCACCCTTTCTGGACTGTGTGCTTGACAAGCCAGGGGAACTCTAAGGTTGAAAAAGGGGAGGTTGGTCCAATCTGGAATTAGAGAACAACAGCAAAGGTTTTGGTCCAGACTCGGGTGGACCCCATTACTAAGCATCCTGAGATGGCCCCTACCAAATTGGTGAGCTGTCTGTGGCTGGGCATCTTTCTCCCCCATGCAAATTCCCAGAGGGTTCTAACAGACAGACCACCTTAGGTCCCCTCCCATCTCCCCAGCAGGCTTACCCCTGAGAACCAAGCTCTGTATGCTGATCAGCTGCCCCTACCTGGAAACAGGGGCTTCAGTGCAGTTCATCCACCAGTCAACACCTGGGTAGCCCAGGTGATAGACAGCTGAGAACTGACCCTCCTCCCAGCTCGACTCTGAACCTGAGTGGCCCCACCCTCCATTCTCCAACCAAATCTATCTGCAATAAATACAAGAAGCAAGGAAACAAACATGGGAGCAAACCAACCAACTCTTGCTCAAAAACAAAAGTGGGCTCCATGGCAGGTGGTGTCCCTGCATCTACGGATGCACCTTGCTGATGCTCAGCCTTGTTCCCATCAGCACTGGACTTATATCAACAAAAGATGCCTATCTGGGCCAGTATGGAGTGTGTGTATGCATGTGTGTGAGTGCATGCATGTGTGTGTGTGTGTGTGTGTGTGTGTGTGTGTGTATGCATGCATGTGTGTGAGTGTGTGTGTGTGTGTGTGTGTGCGCGCGCACGTGTATACGTGTATGCATCTGTGTGAGTGTGTGTGTGTGTGTGTGTTGTTTTAATCCACAAGGTAACCTTCAGTACTTCCTGAATACCCAAGTATCTCAGCCTAAGCTATTGCAACAGACATCGTGTCCTCAGGCCCTGAATGCTGCCTAGCAGTTCCGAGTTCTCGGGTGCCTCTAGTCCTCCACAGGGTACAGTGCCTGCTGCCTATATTCCCACTGGCATGTCCCACAATCTGTCTTAGACCCTATCCCTGGAGTCCACCCTGTGCCTCAGTCTCCCCGGCCTGCCGACAGTGGCACGGCCCCTCTTGCTCCTTCTCTGTTGCACTGTCTGTCTCCTTCCGTCCTTCCCTCTTTCCAACTGAACTCTCGTTTTTCCTCTCTCCCTAGTGCTTGTACGGCTGCTATGTCCATTCCTCCATCATCCCCACTTTCCACCGGAGGTGCTACTGGCTCCTTCAGGTAGGTGGCTGGGACTGGATTCTTCTTGCGTCGCCGGTGCTCGGGAAGGGTCTGTGGAGGGTGTTGAGGGGGCATGGGGCTCCTGCGTGTGACAGCAACTTTGGGCTGAGAGCCCTGGTGCATTTGACTAGTTTTCAGCGGTATTTGCGAAGGCTGTTTGGTGACTGGTCTGATGTGAGGTTCCAGGAAGGAGAGAGAGAGCTTGTGGCTGGGGTACACCTTGTTCATCCAGGGAGAAACAGAGTAGATGCCTCAGGGTGCCAAGGCTTCCAGGGGTGTCCTAGGTGCAGTGGGATTGACTGGAGTGCCTCCTGGGGAGGAGCAGGTCTTAACTCCTTGGGGAGGAGCTCTGTGATTGATTTGTGATGCCTATCTTAAAGATGAAGGTGGTGCAGGAGCATCTGCCAGGCTTGTGGAGGGTAGCCTCTATCCATGGTGATGGCTAGATCTGTCTGTGGATAGCCTGTCTGTGGTTGTGGATAGAGCTTCTGTGGTGTAGCTAGGCAGACTCTGTCCATGGTGCTGGAGAGGCAGCTTCTGTCCGTGGTGCTGGATAGGCAGCCTCTGTCCGTGGTGCTGGCTGGTCGGCCTCTGTCCTTGGTGCTGGCTAGGCAGCCTATGTCCGTGGTGCTGGATAGGCAGCTTCTGTCCATGGTGCTAGCAGAGTAGATCTAAACAGAGGCTACCTAGCCTCTCACTACAAGCCCAGGAGAGTATGGTACTGTGAGGGGTGAATGGCTGAGGATCTATCCAGTGGGACTTGACCTGTGTCTCTTACCAAGCTTCCCCTCTGCTATACACATTCTCTTGTAGGACCCAACCCAGTAGGCCTGTCGCCATTCCCCTTACACACAACTTTGTCCTACTACCTCTGTCCAGGAACCGCTGCCGGGGAACTCATTGTTGTGGTCCTACTGTCTGTGCCCAGTTCTGTTCAAGCTGTCAAGCACATGGGGTTTGGTGGCCCAGAGGACCTGAGGGTCCTTGTTGAAGGGAGACTGGCAGAGGGGAAGCAAGAGTCAAGCATTATCCCAATGTGTGCAGAAAGACAAGAGCCTCAAAGAGAACCAGGTACAGAGAGGCCGCTGTTTCCAGGGGAAATAGTCTGGAGGTGTCCACAGGGCTTGGGGCTGTCTGGATAGGGAGGCCAGGGCCCAGCCTTGCCAGAGCCCTACCACCCTAGTTCCCAGATGTAGCCACCAGCCCTTCTGTTCTCCCTCAGTTCCCAAGATTAATTGTCTGTGGCTCAGCACATTCCTTAGGGAATGGTGTCCTAGCTGACCAGAAGATGTGCTGATCTACAAAGCCGATGCGTCCCCCATGCCAGGCTCCATTGTCGGTTTCCTGTCTCTGTGTCCTTTCGAGGCTGGTGTAGGAGTGTCTGTTTTTCTAATTACTCAGCTGTGTCATTTTGAGGGTGTTTTACATGGTCATGGAGTGCTACTTTGGTTAGTAGAAATCTCCCTAAAGATACTAAGCCATCAGACAAGAGTTTTCTCACTAGCAAACTGGCAGCAGGGTGTGGGGCCTCTGCTTCAAGGGCATCGCTCTGGTCTGGCTAGAACATGATCATGGTTTCCTGGCTCAGGTGCTGGGTTCCAGAAACTTCATTTATTCCAAACGTCCTGCAGCTTTTGGAAATTCCTTCCTAGACCTCCGGCCCCCATCCCTGGCTGTGACTCTTTTTCCTTTTGGTGTCTATGCCCCTGGTTAGAATGCATCTTTGACATGCCTTCTGTGCCACACCAGGCTGGGACATCTCCTAACAGATCAGCTCCCTGCTTGCTCACTTTCTGCCAAAAGTCCTTAAGGGTGCCACCTTTCCTTAAAGATGGCTGCCTCCTCCATGCCTGCTCTATGCCTGCCTCCGCTGCCTCTTCTTGCCCCATTGCATTCTTGTGGTTTTTTTTTTTAAATTCCATTGGACTTCCTCTGCTGGAAGCAGATGCCTTTGGGCAGCATGAGAACTGAGCTCACTTCTCCATAGCTGTGTTCTGGTGGCTCTCAGACACCCCTGCAGCAAGTAGGAAAGTCCTGTCCCCTGCCCACTCCCCCAGCCTGCTTCCATGCCCTGTCCTCTGAGTGCTGAAGATACACCTGGGGTGATTCATGTACTTGTGTCTAGCTTGTCACACTCCAGCTGACAGGAAGCTGGGTGACTCCCCGCCCCCACCTCAGCCAAAGGCCAGTGTGGCAGGATCAACCTGGCTGCTCTGGGCATCTTCATTTCCCCATTCCATGCCAGGGAGAATTGTCACCCCACTCCTCACCTCTGGGTCCTCAGATAGCTCTTCCTACCACCGTGTAATCAGGAGACAGCACAGGATCTGCATCCAGATCAAGGCACTGGGGGATCCCTGCAGTGGGGTGCCCAGGGTGAAATCCCCACCCCAGCCAGGCCGAGGGACAAGAAATTAGGGAGCTAAAGCCACCATAAGTGGTGCAAGTCATGCCCTGCCCACTCTGAACCAGGCGTTCCGGCAGCAGCTGGTGCTGCTCAGGGCGGTTTGTTCCAGTGCTGAAACACCAGGACAATGACATCGCGCTCAGGTTTCATACTCTGGTGTTCAAGAGGATGCTGTGAGACACTGGCCCAGATGTAGTTTGGCCCAGGTTTGTCTCCAATACCAAGTCCCATGAAAGAGGCTTGGTGGGCATGAAGGTGTCAGGGCAGTGCCTGGTGAGAGCAGTGAAAGGAAGCTGATGAACACGATGGCATCCAGGCCCTGAGAAGGTACTGAAAAAGAGGACTGGGTCAGCCAGGAGCATACAGCCACCATCTGCTAAGTAACATGCTGGAGCAAGACAGCCTTCTAGAAATGGTGGGACTTTCAGGAAGGGTACAGTGGGAGGCCTCTGGATAAAGGGACTTCCTCAAGGAGTAACCCTACCACTGACTTTAGAGGTTTCAGCTCAGTAACTGGCTCCTGGCCACGAGCCATGGCTCAATTCCATCCTCTGACATCTTCCAGCAGAGGCTACCTCAAAGCCACTTAGCGAAACAGAGGCCTCTGTTCTACCCTCCAAGAAATCCACTGAGTTCTCTTTACCCACAGTGGAGCTCCCCAACAGAGGAACTCCCCACCTCTGTCTCCCTCAGTGCCAAGCACAGAACCTTGACCACGGCAAGGCAGGAGCCAACATGTCCTAAAAGTCATAGCCTAACTGAACAAATGCCCCCAGTTGCAGCACTGAGCAAGCCGAAGGCCAATGGACGGAGTCAGGATTTTTGAGCCATGTGGATTTCCTCTGGGGGAGCTGCCTTCTGTCCATCTGTGTGTACCCTATTCCCCATTCATCATTGCTAGTGAAGGTTCTACTATAATCCAGACACAAGCAGGCAAGCCCTAGTATGTAGGGTTCTAAAGCCAGGTTTGCTCACAAGCACGTCAGGTCATCACCGTGCCTGATGGATGCCAGTGCTATGAGAGACACTGGGCATCTCAGAGATGCTGCAGGGTGGGGGCACTTGTGTCCAAGACAGCATCCCAGGCTGCACTGTGGATCCAGATGGGCTGAATCCTAACCACTACTCCAACTGGCCAGACCCTGAGATTCCAGATAACCTGGAGAAGGTCACCTCGAAGGAACCCCAAACACTGCCTTTGCTCCACCCTCAGCCTCTGTGTCACAGTCAGCAGGACCCCAGGCTTAGTCACTACATTTTTCTGGTGGGTCACTGAGGTCCACAGAGACCAGGGCCAGCCCTAGAGTCACACATAAGTTGGGTATAGGGCAGAGCAGTGATCTGGCCTCTGCTCCCACTGCCTGCCTGACATGACTCTGACTGTAGCTTCCAAGACTGAGCCTTGCTAGGGCCAGAAGTGGTGCCAAGGGATGAAACAGAGTTCAAGAGAAAGGGTCTCCCCATCCAGGACCTCAAGCCTCAGGCTCCCTGGCTCCACGATCCATCCCTTTGAGCACAGCTTTCCCTGAGGACGAGCCCCGTTTCTGGCTGTGCTTCCCAGCAGACTGCTGGCTCCTTTGCAAACTATTTCTGCTTCTAATGAGTGTTTTTCTCTTTACCATTGTTCTCTGAAATGCTTAATGAATGTTTTCTGCATGTAAGGCGGGGGGTGTGCCTCCACATGGCTGTGTGACTTCTCACTCCAGCCCGTGGAGCAGAGGCCATGAGGATCCTTCCTGGCTCAGCACAGCCCTGAAAAACAGAGGACTGTGTGAAGATGAGACCCTGGGGATCAGGGAAGAACATAGCACAGGGTGTGGCCTCCCAGTTCACCACAGAAGAGCTCACATTTCAACTCCGAGATCTAGAACCCAGTCCTGGGAAGAGCACTGCATTCTGAGTCCAGGGAGCTAGATTCTAGTCCTATCTGGTCTACTCTTAGCACCAGCATCTATACCCGCAAAGCTGACCACCACTGGCCACTGCTTCCCAGCCAGGGAGTCAACCTTCACTACATGCTCCTTGTCACTAGGGAGAGGTGCTTCAATCACTCAGCCACCAGGGGGCAGAATGAAGCAAGATGTCAAGGTCACCTATGGTCATCCTCTGTGCCCCTTCATGAGGTGTCATCAGCGCTCTTAGACCGAGTACTAGTCGTCTCACCCCAGGCCATGAACGTGGCCCCAAAATGGGCGGGCTCCTGGGCCCTTCACTTTAACATGCTGCCTCCTGCCCATCCACCAGGCTCTGCCAACCCTAGCCTCAATAGTGAGCACAGGGGAGGCATCAGGGTATTGTTATGACAATATGCCGAAGGTAACTACCTTATAAGGAAGAAAGGTGTTGTCTTAGTGTTTCTGCTGCTGTGAAGAGACACCATGACCACAGCAACTTTTATAAAGGAAAACAGTTTCAAAGGTTTAGTCCATTATCGTCATGGTAGGAAACATGTAAGCAGACATGGTGCTGGAGAAGGAGCTGAGAGTTTTACATATGGATTTACAGGCAACAGGAAGTGAACTGAGACACTGGGCTTGATCTTATGAGACCTCAAAGCCCACCTGCACAGTGGCACACTTCCTCTAACAAGGCC